TGTCTAAGGAGTCAAAACGGCTTTATGGAGTTATTTAATTTTCTATTGAAGTACACGGACACAGAAGCTGAGTTTGAATTTTATTGGAATAGGTACATATGCTATTAAATTTATCATTTTATATATTTGATTTGTCATTCTTGCATTGTGACATAGATTACTTTGTGCTTATAAAATCAAACATGTGATGTTTTACTTTTCATGTTAAGTTGGAAATTGTAGTGTTTAGAAAATGTACTTTATGGGTTATAATAATGTACCTTATGAATACGGAAAATGTATCTTTGCAGCAGCAATTTGATAAAAAAAATTTCCTTGTTTTTCTAGTTGCATTTAAAACTTAGATATTTTCCTTGTTCTCTATATGTGATTCCTTTGTAGCATGTAGTAATTTGTACTAATAAAATGAAGTGTCATACAATTTTACCTTTCATGTTAAGTTGGAAACTGTAGTGTTTAGAAAATGTATTTTATGTGTTATAATAATGTACCTTATGAATGCTGAAAATGTATCTTTGCAGCAGCAATTTGATAAAAAAAAATTTCCTTATTTTTCTAGTTGCATTTAAAACTTAGATCTTTTCCTTGTTCTCTATGTGTGATTCCTTTGTAGCATGTAGTAATTTGTACTAATAAAATGAAGTGTCATACAGTTTTACCTTTCATGTTAAGTTGGAAATTGTAGTGTTTAGAAAATGTACTTTATGAGTTATAATAATGTACCTTATGAATGCTGAAAATGTATCTTTGCAGTCACACTCAGGTTTGTTGTTTTCAGGTTGGTGACGAACTATAATTGCCATAAAAATGTTTGGTTAAACAAATTGTATGATATTAGGGAAAAGTGGTGCCCTGCTTTTAATAAAGATTACTTCTCTGGAGGTATCTTATCTTCCCAACGGAGTGAGACTACAAATCACTCAATTTCAAGAAGGTTATCTAAAATATCTGGGTTGTCTGATTTTTACAATTCTTTTGTTAATGTGGTTTCTGAGTGGAGGAGCAAAGAGAATGGGGAAGATGTGCGGTGTTCTCAAGGGTTGCCTACAATGGCATTGGATCATGTAAACCTTCTTTTACATGCTAGGAATGTATACACTATTGAGGCTTACTACTTGTTTGAGCAACAATTTTTGAAAGGTGCTGCTTGTCATCAAGAGAGTGTAGCGAGCAATGTTGATGAGCTTAATATCACATTTGGCGGCCGGATATTGACATTATTCGGCATGAGGTTTGTTTCAATATTAAGGATATGAACATATGTTGTACTTGCAAGTTTTTCTCCGAGATGGGTATTCTTTGTTCACATTGTTTGCGTATTTTGAACATTCATTGTGTTGAAAAAATTCCTGAGAAATATATTTGTAGAAGGTAGACAAAAAAGGTTGTTGAACATAGGATTATGGACATTGCATCTTCTTCTAGTATTTTGGCAGTTGCTTCTCCAATTTGGGTTATAGATATGGGTAGAAAATGGCAAAGGTTAATTCTATCAAGTCAAGACAATTGCAAAGCTCGACAAGTATGTGAAAACCTTATTGAAGATGGAAGAAGAAGGATTGAAGGTGAAGTTGGTCCTATTTGCTTTGATGATTTGGAAAGATCTATGCGAAGTAGTGGTATACAAAATCCAGAACGAAGTGGTGTGAAAGGCGACCGTAATCGAAGGCCAGTTAGTACATTACAAAAAAAGTATAATCAAGAAAGTGGCCGAAAAAATTATGCAAAAAGAGTTGAATCTAACACAAAGGCTGCCGTCCAATTTTCTATGCAGGAAGTTGTGTCTAATATTGTTGGTAGTGGGTATCTAGTTCATCCTAATGACACTACTAGTTCAGAATTGATTTGTGTTAGGTCTAAGTCTAAAAACAATTCAAATGATAATTAGGAGTTGTACTGAAATTTTGTTTACTTATATATGCACTTCACAGATTATGAATTGGTTTTATATTGTGTGAGTTATTTACAGATTATGAATTGGTTTTATATTCTGTGAGTTTTTAAAGGAAGTATTTGCACTTGACAGATTATGAACATTTGTGTTTTATGCAATAATAAAATCTTTTCTGATTTGGAAATGTATTCAGTGGGTTATAATAATGTACCTTGTGCTCTAAAATAATGTACCCTATTTGTTAACAAAATGTATCCTTGCAGTCTTGATTTTGGGTAATGTACTCTATGGGTTAGAATAATGTACCTTGTGCTCTAAAATAATGTACCCTATGAGTTATCAAAATGTACCTTAGTTAAGGTCACGTGTTCATGAATTGATCATCACTTAGAGAGTTAGAGTCTTAGAGATGACGGGTGGTATACTCCTCAACCCCAACCCCGTCCACGCCACCATGGGAAATTAGGGGAGGGGTTAGTTGGTAAAATGAACTATTATTTTATATTTTCAAAACATATTTTAATAATTTTTAAATTTGACTTTTAATTTTATGTTACTTTTTATAGTTTCTAAAAACATATTTTTTGGTTTTATGCATTAATAAATTTTTTTCTGATTTGGTAATGTATTCAATGGGTTAAAATAATGTACCTTGTGCTCTAAAATAATGTACCCTATTTGTTAACAAAATGTATCCTTGTAGTCATGATTTTGAGTAATGTACTCTATGGGTTAGAATAATGTACCTAGTGCGCTAAAATAATGTACCCTATGAGTTATCAAAATGTATCTTAGTTAAGGTCACGTGTTCATGAATTGATCACCACTTAGAGTCTTAGAGATGACGGGTGGTATACTCCTCAACCCCAACCCCGTCCACGCCACCATGGGAAATTAGGGGAGGGGTTCGTTGGTAAAACGAACTATTATTTTATATTTTCAAAACATATTTTAATAATTTTTAAATTTGACTTTTAATTTTATGTTACTTTTTATAGTTTCTAAAAACATATTTTTTGGTTTTATGCATTAATAAAATGTTTTCTTATTTGGTAATGTATTCAGTGGGTTAAAATAATGTACCTTGTGCTCTAAAATAATGTACCTTGTGCTCTAAAATAATGTACCCTATTTGTTAACAAAATGTATCCTTGCAGTCTTGATTTTGGGTAATGTACTCTATGGGTTGGAATAATGTACCTAGTGCGCTAAAATAATGTACCCTATGAGTTATCAAAATGTATCTTAGTTAAGGTCACGTGTTCATGAATTGATCACCACTTAGAGTCTTAGAGATGACGGGTGGTATACCCTATGTGTTAACAAAATGTGTCATTGCAGTTGTAGTCACTTGAATTTTGGTAATGTACTATGTGAGTTAGAATAATGCACCCTATGAGTAACTCCACAATAGCTTCTGCTAATTGAGCAATTAACTCCACAATGAAAAGCAATTAACTGAAAAGCAACTAACTGAAAAGCAATTAACACATAAACAATTTCAGCATATCTTGATATCACTAGCTAGCACCCAATTCAGCACCATCTCTGAATTGTTCAAACAAAAATTTCATCTAACACAAAAACCAACAATATTCATCTAACATTTTAGAACCATCAATTACAATGATCATTGTCTACTTATAAAGATTACGGGCTGCCTGTAGTATGGATTGTTTGTGCTCATTCATTGGTAAAAATAATATGTCGGCAGCATATTTTGCCCTCAAAGATGTCAAGAATATTGCCTGCATGTATATTCAAACAAAATGGCAGTTATATAAGTCCAATTAGGTATTTATAAAAATGAAAAACATGTACTTTAAATCACAGTACTTACATTTGAAGGTGTTCTGTTAAATCCAGATTCCCAATTCGGTCCATTACCCTTAAAGATCTGCATATGACGCATGCAATAAACTCCACAATCAGTAACATTAGTGGCATTTTTCCAAGACATCTTCACCAATTCATGGTTAAACACATCATCCTCATCATCATGCTTTGTCATTTTGTTTAACAAAGTTGTGATCCTTTTAAATTTGCAATACTCTTTGAATGCATTAACCTGCACATTAGTTAATGTTCATTATAATATATCAAGTACCTAACAGTATTCAATTTAAACTCATAACAATCTTAGATTTTGCAACTTACTAGGTTTTGATCACAATTATCATATCTTTGTAGAAAGTTAGTATTCTTGCCCAGTGTTCTATTGTCAACTACTTGGACAACCATTTTCTTGAAGTTCAAGCACATGATGAAGTAGTGATGATAGCGTATAACAGGGAAGAAAACCTAAATACATATGATTTTAGAAGTATATCCAATGAGTGTATATAAAATGAATTTCACATAATTTATTAATTTATAATATTATGCATGATAAATTACCAGTTCAGCATCAGAGATGTCAATGTTAGAGGCCAATTTAATCTCATAATCCAAAGATCCATTGAAGTGTCTTTGTTTTTCCTCTGCAGAGAATTCTATTTTCCGTTCAGTAGCATCATCAATTTCCATCTGAACACAAAATTATATTACTAAGTAAACATATTACACCATCAAATTCTGTATTATATACACCAAAGCTTTATGTACACAAATAATGTACTCTGTGAACAGAAATAATGTACCCAGTGAACAAGAATAATGTACTTTGTGCAGAAAAACTAATAATCAATAAGAACTTGCATTATCAATTTACTTTTTTAATATAAGAGAAAGTTCAAGCACTTACAAAAGGATTGGTGGTGAAGTAGATGTATTTTGGTTCACCCATTCCACGAGTGATATTTTCAGAATTCATTCTTAAGCTCCAAACATCTATAATGGTCTTCTCTACTTCACCGTCCCGTAGAGTCAAGAACTGGTCCCTTGCAATGTGGTACCTTTTATACCTAAACAGTGTTTCACTGCAAGAAAAATAACTTTTTAACACATATTAAAGACAAACATTAGTATTAAACATAATTAAAGTGAAAACCTACTCTATTGGATGTTGAATAGACGGTTCCATGAATGCAAAATCAGACAGCATCTTCTCTTTCGCAGAGACAAAGGAGAGCTTTTCTTTGTTTTTCGTCCAATATGGAGACCTCAATCACAATGGAACATTTTTCATTTTTCTTTTCTCTCTCTCCCCATGTTGGACATTCTCCCTCTCTGATTCCTCAAGTGCACTGCCACATAAAAATAATGTACCCTACTCATTAAAATAATGTACATAGTGACCAGAAATAATGTATCTTAATCAGAAACACAACTTTTAGAGTTTAACTTACATGTCAAACAATGCTTGTTCCTTTTCTGTGCTTCTTTCCTCACCAGGGAGTGTAGTTGTTGTTTCGTTTTGTTTTTGAATATCCGGGGGGGGGGGGGGGTAGGTGTTAACAAATTGAAGCGTGGTGGTGAAAATGTTTCAGGATCAACAGGTTCTTCGGTGATTGTGGTGGCCTTTTCCAATGCTTCCATTGCTGCCTTTTCCAATGATGCAACTGCTGCAAGAAAGCTCTCGCTGCTGAAGATTGGATCATCGACCAATAATGTCGAAGTCTTGTCAGGCTGGGAAGTTGAAGCAATGTTCAGCATATCAGACATCTTGCTGAAAGTCTTCTTTATAATTTCTTGTCCGGTGTTTTTGCTCCCAACTTCAGTCATTACTTCCCCAAATTCAACTATGGCTGCAGTCAGTTTCTTCATTCCCATAGATATCTTCTCTACATCACTCATTTTAGCTTTATCACCAACTGCCTGTGCCTCCACCCCATCCCCAACAATGTTGTTTTCAATCTCAGCAACCGATTTCCTAACTCTATCCAAGACTTTTCCCCTGCCATACCCACCAGAATTCTTTTCATCTGCTAATCTTTTTTGGACCATATCCATTGTCCAAACTGATATCGCAGGGTATTTCCTTGGGATTTGCTGCCCTTTAAATTGCATCCTATCAAGGTATGAAACCTAAATAAAATAAAATAAAAAAAGTTAGTATGAAAGCAAAAAATGCATTAATAGAATAAGCAACATAAATTGAATTAAAGGTATTACCATCAAGAAGACCAATGGTCCAGTGAAGAATGTACTTTTTGACTTCTTCCATTTCTCCACTGTTGTAGTAAGACTATTAAAAATGTACCTACACCAATTCAAATTCTTGATGTTTTTCACGTCTATCAATGAATACAAAATTTTGAAGTTTGATGTCCAATTAGCGTGGCCCTTGAACAAACTAGAAATAACAAACACCACAAAATCCCTTTTGAACATGTCCCCGTGGTCTTTCTTCTCAACTATACCATGGCCAAGTCTTTTCACCAATGGAGAACAATTGTCTAATTCCCAGCGTGTTCTCCATTCCTCCAACAAGGTTTTGTATTCTTCAGTTGCATTTGAGTTGTTCCCTTCAACAACTTCAACCTCACCCTTCGGGAGGCCTAATGTGCTCTCCACATCATCCTCTGTGAGCTCCATCTTTGCACTCTCCAACATTAGGGAACAACTACAAACATCATAGTTTTCTACCAAATATGTATTTAGTGTATTGTCCATGCTGGACAATCTAAGCTCGAGTAATGATCCAAACCCAATCTCTTTAACCGCATTTTTTTGTTCATCACTGAGATTTGCCACCATTTTGTTAAACTCCATTGGTGACATCCTAGTCTTGAGCTGAATTTTCTTTGGAGCATTTTCTTTCTTTATAGTCCTATTAGTGGCCTTTTCTTTATTTCCGTCTTCTTCATTACTTGTAGAACTTTTCCTTTTCCGGTAGGTTTTGGTAACCTCTTTTAATGATAAATCTACTTCTTGGCTAGACATAGTTGCTGCAAGTAAAATGTTAGTTAAAGGAATAAATCCAGCGATGCTCTATTCACTAAAAGTGCTCATAAAATCATGAATTAAAATAGTCATGCTCTACAAAGAAATAAGATATTCACTAAAAGAATAAACTCCATGCACTACAAAATGTACAAAATAAATCATGCATAAAAAGAGGGTACCCTGTGGATTAAAATAATGTATCTAATGAACAGATATAATGTACCTTAATAAAAAAAACAACTTTCAAATCTAAATGTACACAAAAATAATAAATTAAAATAATGTACCCTATGTGTTAAAATAATGTACCTAATGCATATAAGGAAAGGTGACACTGCACTCAAAGCCAAATAGAAGCTGGGAATGGAATTCATATACTGTACAAAACCCCATACTCATTCAAAAGTCCCACAGACATCACAACCCATAAAGTACACACACATATTTGATTATATACCTCATGGCTCATGGAACTTATTCAAGCATTGGTTTGATTCATAGGGGTTCAGAAATGAAAAAAAACTTGCATGACTTCAGATCCTAAAGCGTTGTTTGCATTTAAGATATTGACATTTTATTATTGCATAGGATCCCAGATGGTCAAATTATATTCTAGTTTTCAACAAAAACTAGTTCATTGGCCTGGAAAGTGGAATTGGAGTTGGCTTACCACCAAGCTACTCTCCTAATCCCAGAAATGAAAAAGAATGTGTGGAGAGAGAGAATAGCATCTAGAGGACAAGACAGTAAATCATTAGCCACTGAAGTCTAAATACAAAAGACAGGAAGCAGAAGAAACCATAAAAATGATAGTCTCTCTGATCCTCAAAAAGCTCTGCAACAATGTAGCCAGATCTAACACCCACTTCCACAAAAGATCCATACACAATAATAATAAATTTCCCAACCCAATTTTTCTGGGTCTGTTACTTATGTGTCCCAATTACTACCAAACACCAGATATCATAATTTTCTGAACCTTTTATCTATGGCCATTTCCTAGTACTGTCTCCTGAATATTACCAACGAGCAGAGAACATTTCTTTCTGAGCTTTTATCTATAGCCATTTCCTCTTGAAGCTCTTGATTATGTTGTTAAAAAGTCCCACTCTTCAAGTTTGTAGCTTGTAAAATGCACCGTGAAGCCTTAACTCTCCAAACCTTTTCAAATATGCTGGATTTGATATTGATAAGTAAGCACATAATCCTGTTGACCATCCCTCTGACATGCAACCGTATTTACATTACTGATCATGAATGTAGATCTAATCAAGAGAGGACAACTCACCTTCAAAATCAATTGGAAATGTTAGCTTTGAGGCTCTTGACTCAATTCATTAGGTACATTATTTTATCCATCCCCATTCATTGTTTGAACTATGTTCTGCTTAGCTATGAAACCTAAATAGCATTTTCCTTTGCCTATGATCAAAATTCTGGTTGTCTATTTCTGATGCTGTTATAAATGATCATTTGACTTCCTATTTAGAAGATTTAAGCACAGTTTACATACAGTAAGAAGTTAACATTCTGCAAAATTTTTCGAGTTTCTTGAAAGAATTGAACGAGGAAAAATAACAATTGAAACCTGGAATTAGAACAGAACAATATGAAATTTTATTGTAATGAATATATTGTCTACTTTAAACAATTGAAACCTGGAAAAGAAATCCTAAACAACTACTAGAAACCAGTAAGAACCCTAGGCAGTAAAAAACAACTACTCAAAAATCACAAAAACAACTACTCAAAACTCAATTTTAAAACCTAGGTAGTTGAAAATGTACCTAATCAGTAGATGGAGATGGCGTCGGAAATGGTGTACAAGAAATCTCTTGTGGCGTTCGTTTGTAGTAGGGCGCGCTGGAGGTGGCGTCGGAGACGATTGAGATGCGCGAAGAAGATGACGAAGAAGCTGTGGAAGAAGCTGTCGGAGATGCGCGAAGAACACCCCAACGTTCGTTAGAATTATTTTTTTTAAATGATGTCTAACGGCGCCGTCTCTCCTTAAATGGAGAGACGGCGTCGTTTTGGGCCATGGTCCACCCAACTTGGCTGGACCATGGTCCAGCCAATAATTTGCCCTTTATTCCCAGTAATTCAACTCTCATGGAATTACAATTTCTTTCCCACATAATTCCCCCCTCCACCCAAACGCCCTGTTATTCTTATATTATTATATATGGACACCTCTTAATGAAATAAACACTCCCAAGCAATTTTATTCTTTAAGATGTCAAAGAAATTTTAGCTCTTCAAACTAGTGAAAGCCTAGCTCAGCTTGGGGTATATTTAAGGTGGCATCGAGAAGTGTAATTGAAGCATTTATGGGCTGTTTGGTTCACATAATAGACTTGAAATGACATACTATTCTCAATAATAGGTCTATTCCTCTGTTTAGTAATCATTTGTATTCTTAGGAACATTATTTCCGGGAATGACCTATTCCCCTTGCAAAGGGAATAGAGATTCTTGGCCCCCTCTAGGAATTAGCAGGCTATTCCTGAGTTCGCAAGAATACCCTAAAATTATTATTTCCAATTTTATCTCTCAATTGTTATATACATACATACATACATACATACATACATACATACATACATATATATATATATATATATATATATATATATATATATATATATATATATATATATATGCAGTTAATTTTTTAAAACAATGAACAAAATATGAACAATGAACAATCTCCAAAATCTTCCAATCATCCTGAATTTTCTTCAACCATACCTTCGGCTGTCAAGAAATACACCAGCAGTAATATAATAAGAGTAAAAGACATTTTTGGTCCTAGACTTATAGTGGCTTGGACAATTTTAGTCCTTCATAAAAAAATTTGCCATTTTTTGGACAGACTTAATGTGACGAGGACAATTTTGGTCCTCCGTCTATTATGTCGTTAGTTGACCGTTTAAATGAGGGGTATTTGTGTCAATTCAGCTTATTCTTCTCCAGAACAACTTCACCATCTGAACGCGCTTCCAAAATTAGGCAGGGGATTCACCAGACCTCGCAGAAGCTCTCTAAGCTCGCTAAATGTTTTGTTTTGTTTTGTTTATTATTATTATTTATTTATTTATTGCAATAAAAGAAAATTGCTATAATAATTCGAGGACCATCCACGTCCAGTTCGTAAAACATTTTATCTTTGCAAGTGTTTTCATTATGGAGTTTTATGTTCAGAACTGATAGCAAATAAGTCTGTCCGACCTGATAGTATGTATAGGATGCATGCAAAGTAGTTCCATGAATACCCATACAACTGTGTTTATCATTTTTTTTCCATAATCACAGAACCAACCTGGTTCTTAAAATCCTAATTATTTATGTGTTTTTACAGTAAAAAAGAACATCAGTTTTTTATGATCCAACAGTAGAGATTCAAGAGTTGACAGCTGTGATCAAGCAGGACATCTCTGCACTTAATGCCGCTGTAGTAGATCTGCAACTCCTTAGCAACTCCCAAAATGAAAGTGGAAGCATGTGTCTGACCACTGTTGTTGACAACCTTAATAACTCTGCATTCTCATCTCAGTTACCTCTTAGGTATAGTAACACACTTGATGTACCTTATCTATATAGATTTTTATCTGCTTGAGGAGGAGAAGACAGAAAGGATGTTATCCATCACCCTTGACATCTCAGGATTGAAAATGTCATGCTAAACTATACAACCGTAGTTTCCTTCTCCCAGAGTCCTCGTCGTCGTTTCCTTTTGATCCTCTTTTCAACTCTTGCGAGTTCATTTTCTCCAAGGACTATGTTTCTCCGCCACCATCGGAATATTCCTTTCCCAAGCAAATTCCAGACCCACCCGCTAGAAGCTTTATCACGACCATTTCCCACAGGAAATTACCCAAAATTGTTTCGGCTCCGCCGTCATTCCGAACCTTCCTCTACTCCAAGACTTGAAGCCTCCGCCGCCGCCTCCTTCATCGTCATTGCCGTAGGAGAGCCTTTTGCCTAGAGCGGTTCCTTCCTCGCGTAATGTGATCGCCGGGAGACTGAGGTGGCAAAGAAGAACGACAAAGAAAAGTGCAGCGTGAAGACGTTGTTGGCTCAGAACATTGCGGCGATGAACACAGTTTGAAAGTTTTTAGATGGTGAAGTTGTTTTGGAGAAGAATAAGCTGAATTGACACAAATACCCCTCATTTAAACGGTCAACTAACCACATAATAGACGGAGGACCAAAATTGTCCTCGTCACATTAAGTCTGTCCAAAAAATGGCAATTTTTTTTATGAAGGATTAAAATTGTCCAAGCCACTATAAGTTTAGGACCAAAAATATCTTTTACTCAATATAATAATTATTAAATAAAAAATTCTAATTAAAGTTGATGGGAATTTGGAGAAGACTAAATAATACTAATAGTTACATCAGTTTGCAATCCGCTGTTTGATGGTCCAGAAACACAACCTTGGTCTCTCCTAGATCTGCTGGTTCTCGTCGGCGACGATAATGCCGATCTGCTGCCCCCTCGTGATGATCGGTGATGACCTTAGCCACTGCCGCTGCTCACCGTCGACGGAGTCCACCGTCTACACGACGGAAAAGCATGAACGAGCTTCACCGCCGTCAGATATGTTGAGCTGTCGCCGGATCCGCTGCCCCCTCGTGTCAGCAGGTCGCCTCGCGCATGCCGTTCGTCGAAAAACCAGAGGACGCCGCCTGTGACAACCCAAAAATAATTTTTCTAAATTCCATTTTATAAATTCCAAAATAGTCATTTTTCACTCTATAAAAAAAATTTTGCGATAAAATCGATGTTTGAATAAATTATTTTAAATCACGTTTAAATAAATTCAACAACTTGGAATATTCTGTTTCAAAAATCTTAAAATTTTTCGGGTACATCGCGTACCAAGAGTTTGATCCAAAAGTCAATCTGAGTGAAACCGGGAGAAATCTGAGGAACATAAACTAAGTGGTTGTCTAGAAAGTATTTTTGGAAAATAATGCATTTTGACCCGCAAAACTCTTTTAAAATCATCTTCAAGACCATCGTCCATGATACAAGGTGAACCATGAGATCTTATAAGCTTTGTCTAAGATATTTTTGAGCAAGCAAATTTACTCTTTTGCCCTCCACCAATCATTGGTGATCTACCTAGGGTTTTGCACCCATATAAATATAACATATCCTCCTTGTTTCTCATGATCCCCTCATTGTGCCTCTTCACTCCAAAGCTTTAGAAATCAGATTAGTAGAGAGGAGAAATCACAGTAAGTGTTTCTACCCTTCATCCTCTCCATTCATCCATCTCTTTCTCAAACTTTGTATTCTCTGCCTTCCAACCACTGAATTCTTTCTTAAGCCTTGCTTGTATGGTTGATTTGAGGAGTTTAGGTGGTGAAGGTGATATCATCTGAGAAAGAAAAGAGAAGGGATCCACACAAGAATAGGAAAAAGCACAAGGTATAACTCCATGGACTCTCATAAGCTTTTATAGACTCTGTGACGTCTTTTTATTAGTTAAAATGCCTAGAAATACTAGATATTTATTGTGTTTGAGCTATTAAGTGATCTATTGTTGATACATGATGTATTGTTGAGGATATGAGACTGTTTGAATGCTTCAAATTGCATTTGCAGGTGAAAAGAAAGCTTCTGGTGCACAGACAGTGTGCACCACGCTAATTCACGGGACTAGCCAACGGCCTTAGGCAGGTGTAACACCCCACTTTTCTTAATCTTAATTACATATCTAAAACCACAATTTATATAAACTAAGCAACGGATAAACAACGTAAAGAATAAACTAGTGGGTATGTCACCGTCACAACCACCACCCCAAAATGATTGCACAGGCTAAGATTGAACTAACTCATTAAATCCAAGTAACATAATAAGTACTTAATTAAAGTCATAAGGGGGAGAAACACCCCGATGTCTATCATCCAACATCCAAAAACATAAGTCTACAAATCCATCAAAATAAACAACATAATAATAATACTACGAGTTTAGACTACTAGATCTACTAAGCTAGTCTAATTCGATCATCTCTCAACGCTGGGCCCACCTGAAAGGGGTTTTGCAAAACAACACATAGACAAGTAGGAAAACACTCGTTAGCACGAAGCTAAGTATAACCACACTCATCCCTGTAAAGTACTACAGTATATACTTTGGAAAAACATTTGTTCACAAACTCAATCAAGTAATCTCAACACTTAGACAACTTTAGATACATCACAGACTTTCTATATGCTTGCAACCTATATTATCAACAGGCATGCTTCAAATATAAATAACTCATCAACAGAAATATACCAATACATAATTCCCATAACAAATATCATTATAACTAAATCATGTTATTATCAGTCATATTCATACTAACAACCAATACGAAATTATCTTCATGCTTTCAAGATCACATCTTGCAAAGTAGATATATAAGATATCAAAATGTAACTAAAGCAATAATGCTCGATATACAATATCGATTAATCATTCTCATCATGCAATCTCATGCAATACTATACTCAAATGCAATCTCGTGCAATACTATACTCAAATGCAATCTCGTGCAATACTATAAGTATACTCATACACTCGTTTGTAAAATAGAATACTTTCTGTGGAGGTCTCTTGCTTGCTTTCTTTCTTTCTTTCTTAAAAGTCGCAATGACTCACTTTCTTTCTTTCTTTTCTTAGAGTCGCAATGACTCACTTTCTTTATAAATGGACGAGGTAGGAACTTCACCATATTGTGAATGAACCTATCCGGGCACGGCGTCTAGCCGACCTAATACTCTGCTCGTCCACCGAACCACTCTCTAGGTTCTATGCTCAAACTCTGTGGAATCAGGTATCGTACTATCAGCGTGCACACCCCCTGACCAGGATTCCAAGCTTGGCGGGCAGTTTCCAACCTCGTAACGTGGTAATACACCGCGTTACATATACTGGGACCGCACCTTAAAATTCATCCGAGAGGACATAGTCCAAACGGGGTCCTCCAAAACCTCACTGATATAGATAATATATATATATTTCTCTCATGCACCAAACTTATGCATACCACAACTCAACAATTTCACAATGCAACAAAGTAATGATATACCACATGCTTATGAGTTTTTGAAAATAGTACTTAGGCTCACGTTGGCCATTTATGCACTTTTGAAACATGATATACTTGGAATGCAAAAATGATGTACCACATGCTCCAAATCCATATATATATATATATATATATATATATATATATATATATATATATATATATATATATATATATATATATATTCACATAGAACTCTCAATAACACAATATCATGCTCGGTTTGCAATATAACAAATTCTATTTATTTCTACCATCAAAATAGACTTCAAATTCCATTAAACATACAACACATTCTACTCATGCTTTTCTAATAATTCTTATTCACAAAGTGATCATGCTTCTCTATTCATTACATAAATAGCATCAAGAAGATATCTGGAATTTATATAAGCGCAGCACACAGTGACGTTTGAAGCTAACGTTTATAACACAAATGATATGTAACGCAGTTCGGGCAATCAACCCTAATCTGCGAGGCACTTCTCAATTTGAGAATTTGCCTAAATCCACTAAAAGCTTAATATTTAAAGTACACTGTTTGGAACCGGAGATTACATAATAGAACGATATTTCCTATCAGACTATTGAGACCTAAACACATGTACTACTTTTCAAGGGGATTTAGGTATCTCTTCTCAATGACTCTCATACCTCACAATTAGATCTTGAAAGCTTGAGTTCTACAATAAAGGACAACCCCTATTTATAGTAGCTACTCCTAACAGATTCGTGAATAACAAAGCTATTCCTAATCAGACTAGAACTAGAAAAACTTCAATAACAATTCCCTTTAGAACTAGTATTCTTCAATAACTACTCCTCTTAGGCTTGGTATTCTTTTATAGAGTTGGAATTCTTTTTGCACATAACTTTGACAAAACACTTTGAGTCAACAATATCATACAACAATTCTCAAAGGCAGTGAACACAAAGTATACCACTGTGAAGAAATTTCATCACAAAAACCACCATAACAGGCTCATTTCTAATCGAAAATTAACAAAATCAAATCCAAAACGTGCGTCAAGACGACCCCGATGTAACACCCCGAAATTTTGAAACTTTTAAAACTTATATAATAAAGGTTAATTCTCATTAAATCCCAAAATCAAACATAAGAGTGCGGGGTGCTATGCCACATCTGAGCTGGAGAACTCAGATGCACAGGCTAAACTAACTAAATAACCTCAAAGCAATGTCAATACATAACCATGGCACGCAGGCCAAAAGGGAAACTAACTATTCTACGCTCCAGATCTCTAGCGCGCTCCGGTGCATACTCATCTGTGCCTGAAAGCCAAATATATCTGTTTAGCGAGTGATGCTGGTAACCCACTCCAACGCGTTGAAATACAGTATATATATATATATATATATATATATATATATATATATATATATATATATATATATATATATATATACCTATACTGTATTTTCAAAATGGTTTCCAGGCAGCGCCCACCGAAAATCGTCGTCGTCGGAGAAGCTGCCTGGGCGGACGCCGGTGGCTCGGCTGGTGACGGCGGCTGGCGGGGTGGCTTGTTGTGGTGATGGGGTGGTGTTGTGTGGCGGCGGGGTGAGTGGGAGAGGAAGAGAGAGAGAGAGAGAAAGTGTGGAAGAAGAAGAAGAAGGAGGACTTTTGATTTGGGGGTTTTGGGGGGTTTTTAGGGGTTTAAGAAGGGAGTGTTCCCTTAAGGTTTGAAGAAACACTCTTAGCTTAGTGTTTAAGGCTTTAACTTGTAAATAGGAGGTCTAAGGTTCCATTCTTGTTGATGTGGATAGTTTAGTTCCTTTTCCTTATGCTAAAATTATTTTGATTTAGCTCTTTATTTATAATAATTCCGAAGTAATTAGTCTAAACA